CTTAAACTCTCCTATCTGAAAGTGAGCCCATGGAAATATCTGAAGAACCTTTAAACCTTAAAAAAAAGCCTGCGCTTAATGCAGTTGTAGTGAAACTAAATAGTTTTTTGTCCAAAATGTGGCCCTAAAGCTGGTGACAGAAACACACCCACACCGCTCATAATAACCAAATATTTACAGAACAACTTATTTCATCATATGTCAAATAGAAATTCCCTAAAACTGCTTTTGTCAACTTGACCACATCAAAAGTGACCACACTGACCAAAGCAAATGGAAGCTTGTGGTTGCAACTAGCCCCCTTGTCTGATCAACACTGGGCACACTTCTAAGCACACTCACTCCTCTGTGTGAAGCTCCATCCATCATGAGGCCAAGACAGGACAGAGGACCATGGGAAATGAAGCATGGCTAATTCTATTAGCGCGGGGACACAAACAATCTGTGGGGAATCAAAGAAGAAGGAAACATAATCCCAGTGGACCCACTTCCTGCTGCATGAGCTGGAGCAGTTCACCATGATGAGGCAAATGTTACATTCCTGCACACTAGATTTCCCAACACAGAAACGCCTGTAGATGGTTTCATATTGTGAGTTTTCAAGTTCTCCATATTTACCATGTATCTCATTGGTGTCTATCTGTCACCCTCAATCATTATTTTCTGTCTTTCTCTCTTTCTTTCTTTCTTTCTTTCTTTCTTTCTTTCTTTCTTTCTTTCTCACTTTGTTTCTTTCTTTCATTCTTTCTGCTTTTCGGCTGCACTGTGCCTCGCTCTATGGGGAAGGCCGGCCACAAAGCTCTCTCGCTGAGGGACCCTTATGGGACAAAGCTGGCTTTCTGGGCTTTCTGCATATATGCATGCCATGCAGACAATGAGTCCTTTATTAGAGTAGCCAGCATCTCTGAGCTGGAGGGATGAGGGATGAAGTCCGGGAAAGCTGTGACTGACACTGGGTGCTAGTGTGTGTGTGTGCACTTCCCACCTCATGCCTGTGCATGCATGTGTGTCACAGAGGTGTGAAGTGGATGTTCTTACCCCTTACTTCTTCAGTCAACTAATCAATCTCTGCCCATCCGAAAGCTTATCCTCAGAGACAGTTTTTCTTATGCCATATGGTGTCACACAGTAGATATGTGAAAAACATATGAGCTAGGTAGAAACTCCAGCCTCCTGTCGTCATACATCTGAATATAAAACAGGCAAAAAAAAAAACATGCTGTGGCCGGTAGCTGCAATCAAAAGACTGCTTTAAGCAAGCCCTCAGACAGTGGATCTCTATGCACTTGACTAACTTTACTATACAGAAATCAGGCCTCTAGATTGAGTGCCTTTGTGTGTGCGTGCGAGCGTGTGTGTGTGTGTGTGTGTGTGCAAAAGTGTATGTAGTGTGCATGTGTGTGTGTGTCTGTGTTTGTGTTGAGTAGAGAGAGAGGACGCTCTGTGACTCAATCATGCGTGAAGAGGATTTTCTGTTCAATAGGAGCTGCACACTTGCATACTTGCATTCTAATGACTCCATGTGTATAATCATGCAAACAAGTACAGATGCACAGACGTGTCTGTACACGCACATGCACGTACAAACACCACAGTTTATCTTCTCATGATAGAAAAGTAACTGGGAAGCAGGAGGGAAAAACACCTCACTTGTAGAAAATGTGTCTGTGTACCGCTATTGGGTTTCCATATATCATGCACCACCTTAGTGTGAAGCATGATAAAGGCGTTGGATGTAGACTTCCAGTCACATATCTATATCTGTAGCACTGAGCCAATGCCAGGTTTTTCAAATATGCCTGAACATGATCTCAGCATAGACAGCATGTTTAGGGCTGCTCTCACAGTTTTTTCTTTGCCACTGACATCATTGAGTGTAATACTGTGTTAAAACATTGATGGATCATGAAATAGAAAAAAAAAACGTGAAGGCTGCAATGACAGCTGGATGTAGATGAATTCTGTATGTCATTCTCCACCTCAAACACACATGTAAAGCATTCATCTGGGATCATCTCTCAACCCCCCCCCC